ACCACAAATCCAATTCAAAAAAAAATAAAAAAACCAGACTTTTGAAGTTAGAAGCCCAATTCGTGTAATCCAACCCGCACAGGTACCAACCGTAGGATCGACAGTGAATCAGTGATTCAGTCAATAATCATAAATAAATATTTAGCAGTGCCCATATCCGTAATTTTAATTTAAGATCGGTCAGAGTATCGGGTCTACAAAGCTAATGGTTTGGATTTACGGTCGCGTTGGGACTTTTGAGTTTTGACTCAGAAGATTTGCGTGGGACCCACCAAGAAGGCAAGAAGCAAGAAACCCTTCGCTCCCTCCCTTTTTCAATTCTTTTCAGCGGTTTTGGCCACTTCCGCAGTTCCGCTCTTTAGGACGCCTTCGCCGTGCCATGAACAGCAGTACCTCGTGGAAACCCTAAAACTTCAGCTCTTCCACCCGATCAAGGGGAAGTTAAAAAAAGGAGGGACATTGATAGAAATAGGGAGAGTTGCAGGAAACCCTACATAGCCAGAGCTCAGCGTCATCCGTTAAGAACCCTAGAAATTGGTCTGCCTTAGCAAGGTTCAAGTTGAGGATCCCCGCTGAGCTAACCGTCGTTCGCTTCATCTTGTTTTCTCCTTTAGCTTCTTAGTTCTATCTAGGTGACAACTGACAATGAAGACGGTTTCAGGGTCGTTAGTCTCTTCCAAGCCGATCTCCCTCTCAAAAGCAGCTTCAGTTTTGTCCTCTTTTGTCTCAGCCGAGACCGGAGCTTCGCAAGCTGTTTCCGCGTACCTGAGGCGTGCCTCTGATGCCTTCAACGAGCTGGTTCAGTTCCATAGAGAACTTAAAGCTGGACGATCCGAACGAAAACGCAAGAAAGAACGTCTGGAGATAGCAGATAACGGAAACCTAACTGACGCCGAAATAAATCTCAGAGAGAATGGACCTACCGTTGAGCGAGGTCGAATTCTTAATTTGGGCGAAGAGCAGAGTCACAGGTATCGCGGGAATTCTGAAGGAGGGAGTTTCGATGGTGAGGAAAGGGGAAAACGGGTAAAGAATAAGAAGATAAGTGATTCCATTGACTATTGTCCTGAAGTCGAGGATAGAGAAGGAAGAGATGATGTACAAATTGCTGAGGAAAAAAGAAAGGAGAAAAAGAAGAGGAAAAAGGCCGAGGTCGAAGATGATGGACGAGTAGATGGTTCAGAAGAGCGGCATATCAGGATAAAAAAGAAGAAGAGGAAGCACGAAACTGAGGAATAGTTGCGGATAAATGATGTTGTTGTTTCTCTGCTGTGAGTTGGGAGTTGGGATCAGGATGGAAGCTATGCTATTTGGAAACAATCTATTCTCGAAGTGTTTTGGGTACTTTTCGAGGGCTTCACCTAAAATTTTCCGATTGTAATTCTTAGCAAATTTCTTCCTTGTTTTTGGTTTAACCTGTCATTACGGGATATTTTGTCACTTAAGTTACAAATTGGAGTATGATTTTCTTTTCTCTCGGCGTTTATCATATATTTCATTACCAATTCTTTTCTTACCAAAAAAGTCCAAATTCTTTTATAATCTGACTATAATTTGTATATGTATTCAGGAATTTAGCTTAACTTTATAGATGTAATCCGGCATTCTCTAGCTGATTCAATAAATGGCAGTATCGTTTTCTCCTCCTTTACATAGATTGGATTGAATTGGCAATCAAAAAACTGGTACTGTTAGTGCTAGATGAATTTAAATTGTTGGACATCCATTTGTGAATGCTTTTCGTGCAGTACCATAAGGATGGATCTCATTGTGGAGGGCGTTATCTAAACTCCAAAATAGTTATGCTAAATCAAATATAGAATGCAAAACTGCATTTTTTTTTTTTATGTTGATATTCTTTGGTCATTTACTATTTTACTTTTTTTTTCTTTTGAAAAGCCCTTAGGCCGATTTCATCCATCATTAATCGATACAGACTTTGAGTCCAGATCCAAAGGTTAATCAATGCACTGGGAACGGCCAGCCCAAACCTGGCTTGAGGCTAAATGAACAGAAAACCTCGCCAGGCAATGACCAAAACCATTGTTTGGCCTATTGGTGTTTACAACACAGATGTTGGGATTGTTTGATTGGAAAACTTTACAGCTGTCTATTATGACAGACAACTTCCAATAAGGAGTCACCTTCCGATTTGTGAGCCATGAGACTGTTGTTGTTGAGTCACCTTCCACCACCACTTTATTTGCTCTCAAGTCTAGGCCAGTCTTAATCCCTTCCTGAAGTGCCAAGACTTCAACTTCATTAGCTGAGCAAGCTTTGACTGTTGTGGGCTTATGGCTTTGATTAGCAAGTGTTTTCCCTCTGGATCACACACCATGATTCCAATTGTGGCACCTTGCTTCCAAAGGCTCCATCCACATTTATTTAATGGAACCTAGATCAGGGTTCCACCAACCACAGTCAGAATCTCTGCTTGTCTTTGATATCTCAGCGGGACTTACATTGCTTGAGAATGAGCTTCTTACTTCTGAGATAAGGGCTTGGGTTGCTAGGAAAGTTGACTGGGGATTGATCTGGGCTTTATTAAAGATAACCCTGTTCCAGTGTTTTCAGATACACCAGGCCATAATGACACCATCTACGAACAGGGACCAGTCAATTGTTAGCCCTGGTTCTGGCTTTGCTCTCCAGTCCAACAGCCATTCCTTGCGACTCTTTTTCTCTTTCACCCTCAGGTTCAAGTAAGAGCAGTCCATGCTCTCTGTGCTATTTCACACTCAAACATCACATGATGAATAGTTTCTTCTTTCAAACAGAGCTGCCAGATCTTATCTACATGCTTGATTCTTTTAGCCATCAGACTCTGAACAAGAATGGCTTCACTTAAACTATTTTGCTATTCGGTGCTATAGTTTCCTATTGGGATACTTATGTTAAATCTGATGGTATTTGTGAGGACTTCTTATGCCTGGTTTCTTATTTATTTCAATTTTGTTGGTGGATGTCTGTGTGCATCTTATTTATCAAAAAAAAAAAAAAAAGATGTCTGTGTGCATCTCATCAACATTACTGAGAATTGATCAAAAAAATATTACTAAGAAACTCCCAAATTTGCAATTAAATGATGAACCACTCATGACTCATCTATGTGGAAAGCAAAATGGGATTTAACTTTTTTGTATGTATTTCTCATCCTCTATGGAGTAGTTAGTGATCCTTCTCTTCGTAGGAACTAAGTCAAGCTCTCAGAAAGCAGGTGCTTGTTAGGAGAGAGAGAGAAAAGAACCATTTTTCATAATACAGTAGAAACATTACTAAAATAAAATGAACATACTAGAGGTGAATGTGGTGTTGCCGTGTTGAGTTCACACCAAAAGGCAAAAATGCAAAACATATCCAATGTTTAGTCCATGCATGCTCTAGTTTTCTTACTAGGATGGTGTTTGGCAACGATGGTGTTTTTTAGAGCAATGATGCCGGCTCAGTGCCATGTAAGCATTCAACAGAAAAATGCTGAATTTATTGTTTGGTTGAACCGTTTATCAGATAAATGTTTCTCTTGATTTACATGAGAGCTGTTTATCAGAAAAACACCAAAAATGACCATTTTCATTCAGTGGTGTTTTTTTACTGTTCAGCACATGTGGTGCCTAATGGTATCTAATGGCACCTAGTGGCGCAGAGCTGTTGAAAAACATAAAGCAGATTTTATCCTGATTTTCGAGACAAAATTGTACAAAACATTTATCAAACAAATGTCATTGATACCAAACATCCCTTAGATTTATTACATGCTGAGTTTATGTTTTGCATTTGATGTCAAGTGGAACCTGTTTAATAGTTGTGTTCCTCTGCCTGGATGCTGGCATGCAATGGTATATAATGTCAGGACCATCCTTTAGATGGCAAGTTTAGGTTTCTGGACGACTTGCTAATGATAGGTAATTTGGGGTTGGAAAATTAAAAAAAGAAGATAGGTAATTTGGGGTTAACATTTTTTTCACAGTTGTCTGGTGAGAAGCTGAGTTGGAAACAACATCTTGGAATATTTCTATCATGCTTGACATTTCCGTCTTTGTAGAATGGAGTAATTTTCTTGCATTCCACTACGAGCAGTTTTGCATCCCAAATTCTAATACCAATCTGTAACTTTTTAGGACAGATGGATCAAAAGTCATTTATTTGGGGATTTTATGGGCACTATCAGTTGGGTGATTAAAATGCTGTGGTTAACTTCTCCATTCTATAGCACAATGGAAAGACAGTTCGTGTAGCTGGCCCCAAGTAGTTGTGATTAAGGCTGACTTGAGTTGACCTTTGGTTACTTATCCATTCTGACTAAGCTAAAGTAACTTAACTTTTGATTCTTAAATTCTGAATTAGTTATGCTGTCTCTTATTCTTAGAAAGGCTGAAATTTGCATAGGAGAGTTGATTTAAATTTATGCATTGAGATTGTGATCTGTTGTCCTATATTTTATGATTTTATCCATTCATTGATTGGAAATTTCCTTGTTATACTTAAAGTATAAAATTTTGTAGCATATATTTTCTTTTAGTGGTGAGACCACTGAACCCAAGCAATAACCTGCTTCTGAGAAAAAAACTTTGTTTGCTGCTTGGAAATCAATTTGGTCAATCCTCTTTACTGGCGCATTGGCATTTCCATGTAGTCACATGAGTGAAATTTGAGGAGCTCAGCTTCTTCACATAAATAACACCACAGAAAAGTAGAAAAAACAAGCTGGAAGCAGTACTGAAAGTCCCTGGGAGTAGATTACGTGGATTAAAAAAGAACTATTTTTACCACATAACAGTTAAAAAAAGGGGCAGCCCAGTGCATGAGGTTCCCACCAATGCGGGGTCTGGGAAGGGACAGATGTACACAGTCTTACCTCTGCAGTTACAGAGAGGCTGGTCACTCAAGTCACAATGGGGCAAACCAACCATTGCGCCAAGGCCCACCCTCTTTTACCACATTACAGTTAAATACTCTAAATCCATAAAGCACAACTTAATCTGTTTTTGCTCATATACAAGGAGAGTGCAATTCAACCCTAGCTTACTAGATTGTCTGTTAATTAATTTATTTATTTTGCATTTCTCTACATTCCTGAATTGATTGACTCCCATATCACTTGCTGATATTATCATGTGTTCCAGAATTAATTTGCTCCATAACACTCTAAATCTTTAAACTAGAATTTGTTTGCTGCCTTCCTCGTGCCCTCCCTCCTGTATTAACAACTGGTGATTCCTCTGGATTCAGCCATCAGGTAGTCAGCCTCCTCAAATTTCAAGTTGATCTTCTGAAGTCTTATTTCCAGGAGATAGTTTTCTTGTTGGTATTTCAAACGTAAAGCCTTTTGGGTTTTCACTTTTCACTATGTTTCCTCCGCCTTCCTTTATCATAGGACATGGTCTATTTAGGGTGAAGACATATCCCATCAACACTGAAGTGATTTCTAACTTTACTAATTGATTAGTTGCAAAGGTCTGTAAAGAAATAGTTTTAAGGTTGTTAAATGCATCAGAACTTTGGAATAATGTTGATGAAGGTGATAAATTTTTTACCCCGGTATATGGGAGGCACCTTTAGATGACTGCTGATGTACTTGAGTCTTGATATTTACTAATATTGAATCTGAAACCTTTTCCATGAATTCATTCGAAGTTTTTTTTTCTTATTTTTTATTTTTTAATGGAATCTGTGTTCGAAGTTAACATTTATTTCAATTCATAAAGCCTTTTCCAAATTTTATTGGTCGAATTTGATTTAATTAAGTTGTATCCAGAGTTACCTATAGGAAAGTGTGAACTATGAGTGGTAGAATTATTACCAAAAGTCGTTACAAGAGCACCGACCATCTCTGAAGTGATGGAATCGGTTGCAATCTCTAAGAACAATTTCCCGACCATAAACTTGGGACATGAGTTTTATGGCTAAGTGGCAGTCCCTGCACACTCGGAGATTTTTAACCACTCGAATTGGTTTGTTTGTACTCAACTTGAGCAGCCCAAAAGCAATGGCTAACCTCTCACTGTGGACTAAAAGATTTTGAGCTTTCTCCTCCTCGTCCAGATCAAACAATACAACAGAAGCATCTGGCACATAACCAGCCGACTCCAGTTTCTGATAAATCTCATCTAGTTTTGCATAAATATCTTGGGTTTGTGAGTGTGTCTTGTCACCTACAATGAACTCGTGGACTGTGTTGTCAATCTCTATTGAACTGCAACCGGGAATCTTCTCAATTCCTCTGCACTTCATCCACTCTCGAACTCTGTTCACATCCTTCCATTGCCGGGCGGAGGCATAAATGTTTGATAGCAATACATAGTAGCCGGAGTTTAGAGGCTCTAATTCTACAAGTTTCTTCAATACCTTCTCTCCTAGACATAAATTATTGCAGTTTCTGCAAGCACTAAGCAACGAGCCCAGGATAACTGCATTGGGTTCAATAGACATTTGATTTATGAGATTTAGAGCTTCATCCAAGTGGCAAGCACGCCCTAGAACATCGATCATGCATCCATAGTGTTCGATTTTAGGCTCTATACCATAAATCTTTTGCATCCTCTGAAAGTAAACCCATGCTTTGTCAACGACTCCAGCATGTGCAAAAGCATTCAATAGTCCCACAAAAGTAATCTCATCAGGCATTACTCCTTCACTCTCCATCTTGGTAAACAGCTCAATGGCTTCCTCCGCCCGTCCATGAATTGCCAACCCGGAGATCATCGTGTTCCAAGACACCACATTTCGCTTCTTCATCCCCTTGAACATGGCAGTTGCTTTTTCAATGCAACCACACTTGGAGTACATGTCTATAATCGCATTGCATACCGATATATTGTTGTCGAGTCTGTTTCTTTCCACATAAAGGTGAATCCACTCACCAGATTCCAAAGCGCCCAACTGAGCACAAGCCGGAAGCACGCTAACCACCGTAACCTCATTGGGCCTTACACAAGCGAGCTGCATTTGATGGAAGATGGCCAATGCTTCAGCAGGCTTTGAAGCTCTCACACAACCTGCAATCATTGAGTTCCAAGTCGAGAGAGTCTTGACAGGTGCTGAAGCGAACAGTCTACCTACATCACCAAACTTGCTTCTCTGGAAGTATTGCTCCTCGTTATCGGGCATTTTGTCAAATAGCTCCTTGGCAGCCTCGATATCCCCCTGTCTTGCGTACCCAGCAATCATAGCATTCCATGTTGCAGTTGTCCTGTGTTTCATCCTATCAAACAAACTCCTGGCAGCTGCAATATCCCCATCTACGGTACTGGAATACATATTAACCAAGGAGGTGTAAAGATGTATATCTGAATTTGGAATTCCGAACACAATGCTCTGGGCATGGAAAGCACGGCCGATTGAGCTAAACAAACACGAGTCAGTTGTGCAAGCCTTGACGAGGAAGGTGAAGGTGTAGTTATTGGGTTCCACGCATCGGTCCCTCATCCGAATGTAGAATGATAAAGCTCGCAAGGGGTCTTCGTTTCTGGCGTGGCTCCTGATCATGGTATTCCACATGAAAATGGTTGGCTCCTGTTGGAGCTGTACAAATACAAGGGTGGCATAGTCCAAAGCACAGCCTGGAAGAGGCGGAGAAGATGAAGTGCAGAAAAGCAATAGTTTGGCGTAGAGATATTGGGGCAAATTATTCCGGAGAATGCAGGCATGGATTTGCTTTGCTTGTTTGAGAGAGCTACAACTTCGCAAGAAAGACATTATAGTCTGGGTGAAATCCCCCTGAGAAGGTGAGCTGAGCAAAGCTGCCATTGTCATGCTTTCCGGTGAAACAGGGAGTCTCCAAACATTATCCAGGGATAAAGTTGCTAAAAATAAAAAGATTTTTTAGTTTCAAGTGAGTCTGTGGGTGCGGGTCACTTTTGTGACCTGTTCATGGGCCGGGGTCGGGCTTGAATTTTGCCAAATTTTGAATGGGCCCGGCCCAAAGCCCGAGCCTGACTGTAAGTCAAGCCCAAAGCCCGGCCTGTGAACAGGTTTCGAGTCCGGATCTAGTGACCATAATACATTGCTAGCCACGCACATCTAACTGTACATCAGGAATATCGGTGATGTAAAGTACAACAATGTTCCCAATGTGCGATAGGATGCATGTGGCCAGCAATGTGTCTTGGTCAGCAGATCAGAATTCGTTACTTTATACCTTCAATTTGGTCTAAGAAACAAAACCAGGCCCGGACCATATACATGTCAAAGTAATTGACTAATTGTCCTGAGGCCTTGGTGCACCCTGGGCTATTCTAAGCCTCAACCCAAGCCCAACCAGGCTGCGAAGCCTCAAAGCCTAAGCCCAAGAGGTGTAAAATCTCAGGTTTGGCGCACCCAATTTGGTGGAGAGGGAGGGACCGGAGGTGTTGAAGAGAGTTTGGGAGAAGCAGATGGGGGAGCACGTTATACATAAACGCACATCAATAAACCCATTTCTGCTGGTAAAGTAATTTAAAAGACACATGACCAACACTAAGGGTGTCAATGGACCGGTTTTGAATTGGACCCCGTCCGGTCCAAAATCAATTTAGACGGATTGGACGGACCAACATGACACATTAGATTGCACCAATCCAGTCTAAAATATTTATTAGATTGGATTGGACCTGGTCTGTACGTAACGAATTTATATTGGATTGGGTTGGATTAAGCCAATATCTGGTCCATTGATATAAGATAAGAATATGTGTCAATGGACCAGATTTGGGTTGAAATCAAAATGAATTTGAACAGACTGGACAGTCCAGACATTAAATTGGACCGGTCCAAATTAGTTCAAAACATACATTGGATCGGATTGGACCAAATCCAGTCCAATTGACAACCCCAAAGTCCAACACGTTATGTCACGTTTAGAGCCATCAATATCAATGTGTTTGGTCGGATCTCGTTTGGGTCAGATCCTAACTTGTCATTATTTGTTCCATTTTATTTTAATATGCTTTGTTCATTAGTAGCGCTTGTGGTTTTCCTGCACAATTAGAGAACAACTTACCACATAATAAAGTGGTCCATTCTAGTAGGTCAGTGAAATATTGGAATGACATCAATTGAGGTTTTATTGAAAATGAAGTCATTCAAGGATGTAGAAACCACCATATACTCTAGAAATTGAGGTGGGAAATATTGTGTAGATGTCTAGTATTTTTCCAAGGGTACAAAGCACAAACTTGCGTAGACAAGTGGTAAGAGGAATGTATTCTGCTAGACATTAATTGCAAATTCTTCCACCTTACACTCCGCTGCCTTATAAATTTTTATGCATTTATATAGTTGAAAATAATGATAGGTGGGGGTTTGAAACAATACATTCCGAAAACCAATGAAATTTTCTGAGGGGAGCTAACCATAAATTTCCCTTATATTATGAAAACAACACCCTGATAAAAAAAGACCATTTTTAACATTACCAAAAAAAGACCGGTAATAAAATCGTGAAGAGACAACCAATCTCTTTGTACTCCATTCACAAGAATAAGAACAAAAGAGGGAAAGGAAAAAAAAGCAGAGTTCATTGTTGCAAATTCGCAATTCCTTGATTCCATTGTCTTTGAAGAATCTAATTCTCAAGTTGTTGCAGCAATTTGTGTGTAATGGCCCTACCAACTTATGTCATGCGATTCATGTAAAAGCAAAATGATTTGTACCCAAGGTCTGAGACTGAATGTCTGGAAATTTTTCATATGATTTAGGCCGTTCCCACACACGTGTGCATGTGTGTGTGTGTGTGAGAGAGAGAGAGAGAGAAGAGGAGAGAGTTCTCTCTTTAAAATCAATTGCAAGAACTTTAGAAACTGCATTTCATTTAGTATCTGTAATAAAATATCCTCCAAGTGATCATCTAAAAGCCTGTTCAATCATTTCTAGTTTACATGTTTATATTCCCATTTCCAAATACAGTTTCAATAAATGCTTCATATATAACCAAATTTGCCAGCATCAAAAGCATTTCCACACTTAAAAGTCCAGCAGCAGATACAAGGCTGCCTTCATTGAAGTTCCTAGAGACCAATCAAATCAGTTTTCAAATCGACCACCAATTAAAGAGTCATGCAAAGATAAAAAAGATATGATTGTATCTCCTACTTGACTCTATTAAGATAACTGTTCCTAAGAGTTTGAGATTGTCAGGCATCTCGCTGTCATCCCTAATCATCGCTTGCCAACAAATAAATATAAAGCAACCTTAATAAGAACTGCTTTCTCCATCCAAGAAAATTTCAAATGAAACTAATCTGAAACTTCGGGTGCCATCAGAAAGCATGTTCCCCTTCAGCTAACCATACCGAAGTCCAACTTCCATAATTTGGCTGGATTAATCAGCAAATGGGAACATTAAAAGAAATCAAACAAGGAACCTACATCCCAAATGTTTTCCATCACAAACCCCAAAGAAATTTCCCTCTTGCCACCAAAATAGAAGCCAGAGAATTATAACAAGCCAACTACTTCAGCAATATTCTCCATATTTTGCTCATGTACACAACCAATGACCAGATGGTGAGACCAGCTGAGACATAAAGCAAAACAATACCAGAGGAAACTAAAATGCCTGACCCTGATAGACTGTACAATTCACAAACAGAAAAGAGAAGAAAGATTAAAGAACTTCCAACATTATTCTGGAATAAATTTGATCTTTCCTTTTTCTAATTAGGATGTAAGAAAGAGCTATGGCTACTTGCAATAACTGAGATCACAAACCTGCTATCTCGTGTAGCCAAGAGGATAGTTAATGCAGTCATCTGTGTGGCCGTTTTCCACTTTCCCAAATTATTTACAGCAACAGCCTAATGACAATAACATTTGCCATCATAATGTAGTCAGTATACATGAAGCACTCTGATCTCTTTGAAGTTCAAAACAAGATCGGAAGCAAGTAGTGGAAAAGTATATGTGGGAAAAGGAACCTCAAGAACTCTATTATTCTGAGATGCAGCCCATTCTCTAACTGCTGACATTGTTATCTGCAGAAAAAAGGTTGTGAATCATTTAAAATATCAATAAAATAATATCCGTAGTAAAAGTATAAAAAAAATATGAAAATGTCTCACAAACACAAGAATATAACATCAATTTCTATGGATATTAGTGCTACATATGCACTATATATGTTCCCTAGGTCCAGGGTATAAAATTTCCTGATTTTAAAGAATAACCTCTACAGTTCTAACTTTGCATTTACCTTCTCTCCAGCTTAACCAAGCAAGGTTATATCATTGTCAGAGTCAGCAGCATAAGGGTAGTTTGGTCTTTTGTCATGTAATTAGAATTGAGTTGTCTATTTTGTCTTTGTTTAAGTTATGGGTCCCTACTTAATGAGGGACATAATTGTCTTTGTACTTTGCATTGTCTCTATTTTTCTTCTCTCTTCTCTTCTCCTTCTTTCTTTCTTATTTCAGACCTATAACTGAACCAGTGCTAATCGAACCATTAACAATCATCAACAAATGGCATAAACCACAAGATTTCCTCTTTAAGTTCTATATTCATGAAACAAAGATTTCTACACACTCAAAATCTAATTTAGGTGGATCACAAAAATTAGCTAGTTCATAGGCTCTTAGTCTTGCTAGGGAATGGTTTAAAGGTAAATTATATTGGGGGTCAACTCTTCTTGGAGTTTCTAATCAATTGAGAGGTTTTTCGAGTTTAGTGTCAAAATGAAATTTCTTCATTTCCTTTTGCTTTTTTTTTTCTGAAAAGCAAAGTATAATTTTGTTAATAAGAAAGAAAATAGCATGTCAAAGCACAGATCATCTACAATACATTGGTCCAAGGAAATGTGATGCTAAATGTTATCTATGTTGTCTATACAAAATGCTGAAGTCAAAAAAAAAAAAAAACAAGGGAACTTTCCTAAACCCTTTTTTTTCTGATTGTCATCCATGGGTGCCTCATGCGTAGAATATTCATAATGACTACTTCTATTAAATGTCGATTTTCAAAATTATTGTGCTTCTTCCTCCCCCCCCCCCCCACTCCCACATGATCTACAAAATAGCAGTGGGAAGCATTGCCAGAGGACTTTACTCTTCTTGGTCCTTTCAAAGAGCAGACAGAGTGATTCTCCAAAAGAAAATGGAGAATGAATACCATTTTCAGCACTCTAAAAATTTTAAAAAGTAAATATTTTAAAAAGTTTTCATTGCAATACCATTTTCAGCACTCTTTCATACTTTTAACAACTAGAAGAACAACATATCTAAAAGGAATTAAGAAGGGATTATAGGAAAATTTCATCTTGTAGTATGCATCACCCAAAAAAAAATCAAAACAACTTCAGTAGTTAGAGATGCATGAACATTGATTACTGCTTAGGGAATCACCTCTCTACCAATTATAACAATTGAAGGCACCGTCAATAGCCATGGCAGATCTCCAAACACAGCAACACCCAAAGGTCTGTTACACAATAAGACCAATGTCGCAGCAACCATAAGCTGCACTCAAGGAGCATAAAGCATAAGAATCAAAGAAATGTTAAAAATAGTTGATTTTTTTTTTTTGAGAAAAGATAACGTGTTGTATTACTATGAAAGAAAAGAGACCCGTGTACAACAAGGGACTGTACATTGGGAATTTATAAAATGCCAAAAGGAAGAAAAATCTTTTGTTAAAAATGGTTGAAAGAAAAATCAGCCTTCCTCTTTTTTTAACATTCAGATGCTATAGCCTCTAAGATTGATATAGCTCAAGAAAGGAGAAACTAACTGAAATTTATAGAAGAATAAGCAAACCTTATCAGCTACAGGATCCAAAAATGCACCAAATGCTGTACCCAGTCGCATCTGACACACAAAATAGCAATTTGTCCAACAGAATAGAATGTTATCAAATGGAAGACAGAATATACGTGTGTGTATGTGTAGTCCTTCATTATATGCCTTCTTAAAAGAGATCAGAAAATTGCTTACCTTTCGAGCAATGTACCCATCAAGCCAGTCTGTAATTGCTGCAACAATGAAAATACTTGTTGTAGCTGTTGTCCCCCACCAGCCATTCATGTAAAAAGCTAGCAAAAAGAGAAAAAAAAAAGTTAGCCTCATCATATTGGAACTTAACACAATTGTAAATGATAAATAGCCAACAGAAAAGACAGGTAGGAAAAAAATTGCATGAATCAACCCCTTTCTCGTCTCTCTGCATGCTTCTGATTTAGTAATGATCACAACAAGTTGAAACTAACACGTTCAGACTTCAACAGCACAAAGTAGAATAACATTCAAGGCAAAACACATAAGAGTTGATTAACTTCCAGCTCCTTTTTTCATTTTTTTTCTTTCATCAATGTGAAGAATGAAGAACTAGTCAAGAGACACAAATCAATTGGGTAATCAATTATGGATTAGGAAGAGGTTGAGCTTTCATATAGTATTATCATCAAGGCCAGTCAATAACAAATCGACAGTGATTTTCAACAAACAAATACTGTGAAGGTTAATAATCTGCTATTACATAGAGTTTACATGTAGTAATAGATTTTCAATAACGTAGCCATGTACTTTGAAATCAGTCAATTTATCAGCAAAGCCAGATAACTTCCTTTTTGGTAATTGCTGATAGAACTTAAATGTATGAAAAAAACTGTTTACTTTAATTGCGAATTCTAATATTGGGTTGGATCAAGGAGTTTGAACACAACCGCACAAGGATAGCTATAAGCTTGTTAAATAACTTCCGTAAGTTCTCTACCTCCAGATTAAGCCACAAGTACCAGGTCAAGCTTCTGGAGATTGGACTACCATGGGCTCCTGACTCAACCCCAAAATCATGATTGATTAGATTAACTATACTATTGCTCTTGTGAAAGTATTCAGAACTGGAAAGAACACACTTACCCAATATAAAAGAAGGCCATTACCTAATGTTGATCCCAGATATCTGGGGTTTTGGGAGGGGTGGACAGGATATAGACCTAACCTTTTGTACAAAATGGCTACTCTCCAGACCGAACACGCTTGTCAGCCTAAGATTTTTATCATAAGACACTTACATAATCCCATACATGATTTAGAACACAATAACAAAAGGTTAATAAAGAACACAATAACAACTGCAGCTAAATGCAATGGATATTATCATTAAATGGCCCTCCTTTTGCGGTCACCTGTATTTATGATTCAGATGTTCTTCACCTGGGTTTGGAGAAATTTGAAATGATTCCCTCTCTTAGACAACCAGAGAGGCAATTGTAATTGAATTGTAAGACCAAAGCATGCAACGAAGTTGGCAAGGTCGAACTTTTTTACTGGCACCATGTTGAGATAAAAAACAAACAAATCCATTTTTCAATGCCAGTGGTGAAACGATTTCCTTATTAGCATTCGATCGTTATGAATCCCACAATTAACCCCCCCCCCTAGCCAAATTGAAAAACACGAAGCTATTACCTCAATGTAAAAATACAAAACCTATTCCCGATCCCTAGATTTCAAAACAACTCTTGGAAAAGAAAACCAGAAACCAAACCCCATCCCAGTTTTTGAGATCTAAATAACAGATGAATATGAAAATTCATTGGAAAACATTGGCAATGTCAAGCACGGAATAAAACTAATAACGAAACAGATCTTAAAACAATAAATAAAAAAAAAAAATCCATACTGCAAATTAGAAGTGGCACCGCTACAACGCGACCCAGCGTCAGGATCGTAGGCAAGGTAAGCCATCTCGAAGGCTGCAATTGTTGTGGTTGATGAATGTGGTGGAGGGGCTGGTTCTGCGACAAGGGTGGCGACCGGTCCATATCATCCCGGTCCACCTTATTCTGAGAGCACATGCCGGTGGCCACAGGACGACGTACTTTGGATTCAAAAGAAGCAGAAAAGAAGAAGGCTTTTTGACCGCGAGACCCCAATTTTCTAAACAAGCCTCTCCGAGGCGCAGCCCCGAATTGTGCGCACGATATCAACCTCCACCCAACCGATATTCGCTCTCCGTTGTTACCAGGTAGATTCACCGAAGTCATCGTTCTAGCGGCCATCGTTTCGACAGCGACAGGGGCAGCTGCAGCCCTCCAAGTCGATCCATAACTCGTCTCCCGCACCCATCTATCGACCATGTAAGCCCTATTGCCTGAAATAGAAGGCACCATTGCCACTTTTACTCCCGCCATGGGGGTAACAAAAGGGAGGAAAAACAATACTTACCGGTGCTCAGCTCAGCGATTTTAGGGAATCGAATCCCGTAAACTACGCCATTAGGGAATAGAAGACGTTGCAGAAATGGAGGACGTAGATTTTTTCTCTGTAGAGCATAGAATCGTGATACTGGAAGAGGGTTGATGGTGACGTGACGTCTGTCCTCCGCAAGTTAAAGCCGTTGGGATTGGATTGATTGACAGTTACGGTTTCTGCTCTGAATGGAATTGCATATTCCCGCCAATTCGTTAGGAGGACGCTATCAGAACCCTGCATCATCGCAACCAACACCCCGATTCCTAGGAATGACTAGGATCAGCCTTACGCTCTACTGTGCGTCTCGCGTGAATGCTGACATTGCTGGTTTTTAGAGATCATATTTGCGCCCCACAGCACATTCTAACCGTGTATTGAAAACATCTTCGCATGACAACTATGGGAGATGTTCCTGATGCACGCCAGGATGTGCATGTGAGGCGTTGAGTTGGGCGCAAATGTGAATTCGGTAAGTTATTCGCTAACGGATCAAACTCCAGTCGAATTGGAAATGTCAATGTCTTGGATTTGGACCAACTCGACTCGAGACAAATTAAAAATTTAAAACTATACGCTTTTCTGCTTATAACTCTCTTAACAAAACTCGTACATGACATGAGACCAAGGACCCTACTAGTATATTACAATGTTTTAAAAATCGATTCGGGCCACTGCTTTTGGGTCAACGATTCAATCTTTCGATTTGAATGGACGATCCATTTTAAAATAAAAATAAAAAAATAATTAAAATAAAACAGTTAAAAATCATTTTTTGAGTCAAATGAGTTGAGGGTTCAGTCGTTCGGATTAATGGGTTGTTGATTAAATCAAGTTTTTTTACCATAAAATGGATTAATGAGTGAAATGGAACCAATTATCTGAACAGTTTTTAGGCCGAACAGTCTGATTATCTGAGCAAACGGCGGTTCCAAAACACTGTATATACTAATACTATACATTATATAGTTTTAGACCTGACTTTTTCCTTCCAATTTAATGGGTCGCAGTTCAACTGTTCGGGTCAGTGGGTCAACGTATAATGTCATTATCATAAATTTTTAAGATTTAAATTATAAAAAATAGGGAACCTGTTGAGCAGGTCATTCTGTTCAACGGTTTAATCATGTGTGAATGGTTCATTAACTGAACCAACATTTTTTTCAATATAATGATTGCAGTGATCATGGACCAGGATGGATTGGCACTTCTTACAAGGATCATAGTCTCGGACCTAGCCTTATTCATATACCCGAGCCTGGAATTTCTAGATTGGGCTGAAAATTGGTCGCCCTTAATAACTATTAATTTAATTTATTAATGCACATCCAATTGCAATTTGAATTTGACTATGAATCTACCTTATATCCGATTCAGTCCATTTACAATCCTATCAACGAATGTTGAAAATCTATTCAAAATAAAATGTTTCTTGTTTCTTCTTTTAATAAATAAAATCTCATCGAAATCTTTTTGAGATTAAGAGGTATGAATATTGATGAAGAATTGTGCTTTTTGTGAGGACCATATCATATATATATATATATATATTAAAATAAAGTGGTCAGAAATTTTCTTCTTTTTTTGAATTTTTTGTTTTTTTATTCCATGTCATTTTTGAAACAACCAATGAGATGCACTTTACCAATAATTTAAATAGCATTTTCTCATAAAATTTATCATAAACTACCTCCCCCACTTTCTTCGGAATTATCTCTAATTCCTATTTATCTTCTAAATTATCTCTAATTCCTATTTATCTTCACAATTATCTCTATTTTAGTAGAGAGTTTATCTCCTAAATTATCTATCATTCCTATTTATCCTCTCCCCTACTTTTTATCTATATCAATCTAAAGAAAGTTTGGATTAAAAAATTTAAGAAATATTTAAATATTCTAACAAAATTATATAATAACTTTAAAATATTTATTAAAAACACAAAAAATAATTTTATATTTTTACAAAAAATATCACGAAATTATGTACTAATAATTTAAATTATTTTTTTCGGATTATCAATTTAAATGATTTTCAAATATTTTCAAATATCAATTTAAATTAACTTATTTACTTAATCAACATTTCATTAAGGAACGTTTGTTTTGCCATTAGGCCTGTGATTTGTTATTCCAAAAATACCCTTAACACTTTTTTTTACAGAAAACAAAATTAACCAAATATAGTCAATAGAGTGGTTGCCCATGTCTTATAAAGGGCAAAAATGGTATTTTTATTTTTATTTATTTTTTATTAAATTTATTTAAATGAACATTAGGGTTAACACTATCATTTTCCACTGTCATCTAATGGAAGATTGATTAAATCCATTGCAAATTATAAGTGGTGTTTTAGTAAAATTTTAACTATAGGGTAGATTTGAGTAAATCCATGAAACTATAAGGGGTATTTTAGTAAATAACCCTTTATATTATTTAGCTTTCACTTTAATAAATCTTGTGCATTGCACGGGTCCCCGCTAATATATTTTTTATATTGTGATTTTCAGAAAACAAATTTACAAACTTATGGATAATCCAGTTCTGAAAGACTCCGGATCTCCTGTCCATGTCTACCCACAACACACTACTCCCATATATTGAGAACATCTTCCCATGTATAATACTATGTAGGAGGATGAAATATTCCCCATGTGTAACTGCGATGATATGTGGGTAGACGTGAACAATGTTATTGTGGGCAGAGACTCGTTGTGAAACCCATCCCTATGGATAACTCAATCCTAAATTGGTAGGTTAGAATTCAAAATGATATTTAGTGGAGAGAGATAAAAGTGATCTTTTGGCTTTCATCTTTGAAGACTGGAAAAATAGGAACCAAAAATTATTTAGAAATACTGAAATAGTTTCCTCCCACCCTTGGTTTTCTTCGAAAAAGTTAGATGGGAGTCCGTCGAATTTAAAACTTTCAATGAGAAAATAAAAAAGAATGATGAAAATATTAAAATAAGTATATGGGTAAAATGGGACCCTCCCGAAAGCATCCTACACCAAGTTTTGATGCTTCTACAGAAATTGATGGGTCATGGGCCATTGGTTTTGTTGCAAGGGATGAGAAGGGTCGTGTTCTTAGCTTAAGCAGCAAGTCGTTGAGGTCTTGCTATATTGATGTCTGTGGCTGGGGCTTGAGCAGCTTTTGAGGCCCATAATTTGGGCTTTTCTTTTGCTAGAAGCAACGCTGTGATTGAAGGGAATCCGGATCTCCTACCCACAACCACAATAATCCTACCCACACCTATACATAGGACACTATAGCTGTACATTGGGAATATCTCTCCATCAATGTTAATATGTAAACATGAAAGATGTTTTTAATGTACAACTGTAGTGCCCCATGGGTAGGAGATCCAAGCTGGATTGAAGGAGATTTGAAACTTGTTGACTGTTTGAACGACTGTGAATGGCAATTTTCCATTCCTGTTGGGTATTCAGCTTCCCAACCCCATTGGGAATGGAAATTGTCTTGGTAGAGATGGGGAGTGGATTCCTCGCCTCACTCTGACTCCGATTATATCTACAAATAGAGGTGTCAATGGTATTCAAAAGTCCGATTTCGAATTCGAGATTTGATTTGAATTCAGATAATTCGAATATCTAATCGGTTGAATTCAGATATCTTATGCATACCGAATAACTAATCAGTTTCAAACTTAGATATAACCTGATTCGATTTGATAAATATTCAAATTTGATCGGTTATTTAATTCTTATATAATATATAAAATATTTAATTATTTTATATAATTTATATAAATAAAATATTTATTAATTACCTAAAATAATTAATTAGTCAAATCTTTTTAATTGGATCCAAATTCGAATATTGCTGATCCGATTCGAATTTGGTCCATTTACACCCCTATCTACAAATATATATATATATTTAAAATGTTATTTATATTCAAAAAAATCTAGAATGAAAGGTCACTTTTATCCCCCATGGGGATCGGGATTTTTTTCAAAGTCCATATTGAGTATGGGAACTACAATCCCCACCCATTGCCATTATTAATTAGTACTATCCCCGGTGGAGTATCAAGAGCATCATCGAGTATCATCTTATTTGCACAGGTGGAATCTAAATGTTTAATATTCTCACGTCTTTAAAAATCTAATTTTGTACCACATTGGCATACTAATTTTGATCATGTTGTGGGTTCTATCGGGTCTTTGAGTTCAAATGGATTTTTTGGAAGGGCAAATCCAATCCTATTTTGTGCATTTAGCTCCGTTGGCGAATTTTTTGCTTTTTTATAAAATCTTGTATTATTTTCTATCATTTATATATTAGATATATCGGTACTCTTTCCAAACTATTTTGTATTATTTGCACCATACGTATACGTAGAGTGAAAAACTTTATATTTTATATTATTTTGTATGAATTTATGGTGTATATATATTTGTATTTGTACTCTTTCGGTCTTTTCAAACTAAGCCTTAAGCTGTATTTAATTGTAATACAAATAAATTTACACTGATACAATACAAATTCTGACCTATTTCTGTTTATATTTACATTTATTTTCATTTCTATTCCTATGCATTTATACTAATCCAAATAAAATTGTAGTACAACCAAGTACGTGGTGTAAATAATACAAAGTTTTGCACAATACATATTTATATTTATATTCTTACCTGAGGTCGACATTGTATTTATATACGTGAATCACACAATCCTTGTTGGCATATTTGTCCAAACATAAAACGACGAATAGACCTTTGTATTACCTAATATAATTAATAATTGTTTTTTAATCATGTTCATATTTCATAGTTCATACCACCTTCTTTTAAAGCACGAAGTCACGAACCGAACACGACCTTAGTATTCTCTATAAGATTTCACGTTCAAAGATTCAGATGTCTCTCCCAAGGTCTCATACTTAACTTACACTGCGACTGGGCGAGAGAAGAAGTAAGCTCTTTCTAATGAATAATGGGGTACGAAATCAAAAGGAAAAGACCTTGTACGCGAGGAAGCTCGGGCAAGCGAATCAGTAGAAGAATTCAGTTGCAGAAATCAAGGAACTCAAAAAATCTTTCTAACTGAAAACTCGCATTGCGCACCACATCGATCTGTCGAGCCACCGAAGATGATGGGGAAGGGCTTGAATCCTCTCATCACTTTCGAGCACAAGAGGTAACCAAACTTTTAACTTTTCTCTATCTCCCTACCTCTACACGCGTCCTTGTATCCCTGAAATGTCGAAGATCTCATTTATGTATCAAATTCTAGTTTTCTTTGTTTCTTTTCTTTCAATCGTCTGAGCCCCGTTTGATAGAAATAATTCACGTCGATTTACTGACGATGGGCGTAATGTGCGATCGGTTTTCTGCTGTCGAACTTTCGATATTTGAGGCTATACAATGAAATCAATCTCAGATAGTTGCTTTGGTTTATTTGCTATTTCCTTGGGAAATTTTCTTCCACAATGGAGATAAATGTAGTTAATGCCAATTAATAAGGGGAGGTTTTGTTGTCTTCTCATTGATGCTGCTTCTGAATTCTATTTGGCTGGTTATGGATTTAGGATTTTGGGCTACTTAATGTGACTAGTTGGTCTCTATTTCAATATGAAGTGTGTAAGAAGGGTTAAGGTTTAGCTACTCAGTTTGGATGAAGCCAATGTCGAGCGCTATGGGTAATAGCATTGTAATTCTGTGTGGAATATGCTGTTGTCCTTATTGAATAGGCGCTCTTTGGACGCAGAGTCCAGGTAAATTAAGTGGACTATTGCTTTGTATTTTGTAGAAGTTTTATTTTTTATCTCCTTGAATTATCAGAATTATGTAGTATTTTGACAGCGTTCTTAACTCCATACCATTGTTAACTTTTGATTCTTCAACAACTTTATTTTGTAATATCTAGGCGGAAGACTACTAATGTAACAAAGGGATTATACGATTTTGAGAACTGAATTAGCTTTTATCTATAACAGGGACGCCTATGGATTCGCAATCAGGCCCCAGCTTTTGCAGAGGTACAGAGAGTACGCTAACATCTACAAGGTATTTGCTAATTAAGATTCTCTCTTCTCCTTTATAGTCAAACAAATGGGAAAAAAATTGGAGGCCCGAGAGTATGCTAATATCTACAACGTATTTGCTATTTAAGATTCTCTCTTCTCCTTTATACTGAAGTAACTGAAAAAGAAAATAATTGAAGGTGCCTCCCCTATTTTTGGGCTTTTCTTTATTCATGCGTCCAGGAGGAGGAAGAGGAGAGGTCAGGCAGATGGAAGATCTTCTTGGAGAGGCAAGCGGAATCTGCCCAATTGACTCTAAGTGGCTTACCTGAAGAGAGACAGATTACAATATCACAAGCTGAAAGCACTACACTTGAAGCAAAGTTTGTTTCTGAGGAGGGTTCTGAACAGGATGGTTCAACTGTAAGTGAAACCTCTGTTGCCAAGGATTCAGCTGAATACGTTCCAGAAAAAGAGTTGTCTGTAGTAAAGGAAGAAAAAACCTGTAAAATCCAAATCTGGGCTCAGATTAGACCATCCCTTGGAACCATTGAACATATGATGAGTTTTCGTGTTAAGAAGAGGACGAATTTATTGAAGGTTGATAAAAGAAGTGAAAATGGGCATCTAGCTCCAATTGAAGAAGCAAGACCTCCCAAAGGATCTTCAGAAGAGCGCTCTGAGGATGAATGTCATGATCTGGAGAGATCAGATCCAATTCATGACAATTCTTTGTCTGACACTGTGAATTCTTGTGGCTCAGAAAATGCTGCTGGTGATGCAACCTCCACAGAACATTTATTTCATTGGAAAGAGGAACTGGAGTGCCTTGTCCAAGGGGGAGTTCCAATGACTCTTAGGGGGGAGGTGCAGTTGTCATTTGTTAGTTTGTTTCTTCTTCAAATTATAAATTAGAGTGCAAATAAATAAGCTTAAAATTGTCTCTCTTTTTTAATTGATTCTTGGAATTACAGCTATGGCAAGCTTTTGCGGGTGTTAGGACACGTCGCATAGAGAAATATTACCAAGGTCTACTGGATCCAGAAGCTAATGCTGCTAGTGACAAGAATTTTGGTAGTTCAAATTCTAACACCACTAAGGGGTCAAATAATGATCGGAGTTGTGCTGAGAAATGGAAAGGGCAGATTGAGAAGGTCATTAGAAGCATCAATTCTGAACTTCAAAGTTCGATATTGTCAATTTGTAGGTTTTGCCTTGGTTAACATGGTAGTGTCATCAACGTTACCATGAACATGATTTGCAAATTTGTTTGCAGGATTTGCCTCGAACATTTCCAGGTCACCCTGCTCTGGATGAGGATGGTAGAAATGCTCTGAGACGTTTACTCACAGCATATGCTCGGCACAACCCTGCTGTTGGGTACTGCCAGGTACATATGTTTGAAAGAAGTGTCTATGCTAATGATGGCAATTCTACCTGTCAGGAAAAAAAATCAAGGATGAATAAAAAAAGAGAAGAAGGGATGAACATATAATTATTATGCATGCCTTAGAATATGAATGAAGAGTAGATTACCCAGTTCTGTCTGGGGAATGGCTTATCTTATAATTCTTATGTATAACCTTGTAAAATCAAGGGACTACCAAACTACTTTTTTTATAGAGCTGGCAAGTTTGTTTTTTAATTGTCATTTAGCATATCTCAAGCTGGCTGATGCAATTGAGCATAGTTTGTGGTGTAACCGAATGAGCTTAAAACTAAGTTTCTTGTTGAACTTCTTGGCTCAAGATTTTATGGCTGTGTAGAAATTACCCTCAACTCATTGCCATCTAGAAAACATGTGATCAATGCATGTGCAGAACTTAACCATGGGTCTTTGACCAGACAAGTCATTGTTACACCGCTCATGCTGAGAATTTGTGCTAGTAGATCTCCACCATGCATTAAGGTGCTCCCGTGTGCTATCATCAATCCTGATCATCCCATCTCTCCTCCTCCTTGAATCCACCCCTCTCTCTATCACAATCTGAGGACAGTATCTGCAGCCTGTAGACATGAGGATAAAGGAAGGTGGAAGAGAGAACTTGTAGGTAATGCTTCATAGCATTCAAATGATGTTAGAAAACTATTATTCCCCAAAACTTTTAAGTGATACTATTAATCGTTGTGGTTGAGACACCGTAGATTTTTCAGGTTAGTGGAATCAAGAATAGGGATGAGCATAAAATGACCAAGCGCTTTACTAATATTATTGTAACATTAATGCACTTGCAATGGTATACAAGGATAACAATGAAAATGTTTCCATCAGGATCACCTCAGAAAAGTTTACTAATATTATTCAAACACCTTTTTCAAATGAACGGTTAATTGACACAGTAAGGAGGTCACTGGATGATTGAACCCTTATGGAATTTATTCCAGGAAGCTGGAATTGTTGCCTTGCTTGTCATTTGGAAAAAAGTTTTTTTAGGTAATCTCAGAGCAGGATAAGCAAGGTACTTTAAAATAAACCCCTTACTGAGATGACCTAATAAAAACTCATTTTACTGCTAAATAATAGACCTTTTGTATGTGTCTGTATTTTCAGAATTCCTTTTCACTTCAAAAAGGTGGCATTTTGAAGTGTTCTGGCCCAGATTTTGACACTTCTAAAAGGTTTATTTTTTAGAATTACTTTCACTTCTGAAGTGACATAAAAGGTGTTCAATTAGCATGTTACTTATCAAAAAGAAAATTCACATTTCCAAGAAGACCTTTTAGAAGAGTTTGAATTTAGGTCAAAGCATGGTGAAACTTGTAAAGAGTGTTTTTTTCAAGTTTGCTAGAATTACTGGAATTGCAGGTGACCTTTACCATGACAGCGGGGAGATGGTAGCACCCCACTTCATGGACTTGCCTAACTAGCATATGAGCATATCAGACATGAGTTAGATGAATGTTCATCTTCAAATATGATAGATAACTTTGAATGGTATCTGGTGTTTGTGGAGATTTTCCAAAAGAACTTGCAAGCTTGAGTGCTTGACTACTTTACAAACTCAAATAAGTCTAAAGTTCATGTGAGTAATTTGAAATCTTCAGGGAGCACTTTGAATAGAACCTGGTGGTTGGCGGACATTTTTCAAAAGCATTAGGTTGGACTAGTGAAACAACAGCAGGACTGTGGCTTCAATGAATTTTAATGGCACATTAACAAGATTGTTGAAGAGTTTTTTTCCTCTTTTTTTTATATGGTTAGGAATGCAAGTGATGTGGTTACATTCTTTTCAAAAGTAGTTTATGCAAAGAATCAAACTTTATTTTCTATATGTGTGCAATACATTTTCAATGTAACTTCGTTATTTTTTTGAAGTGAACTATTGGTTTTCATGTTTCTAAGCAAACTTTCTCATTTTTCTCCTTTTTTTTCTCTCTCTTACTACCACTTCAGGAACGTCATATGCCTAGAGAACTTGAAGGGCAGGCTTCGTGTACAAGAACCAGTTTTGCCATGTGACTAGGTTTCCTATGAAAGATCTCTAGAAAAAAAATCCTTCAGTCCTCACCTCCAATTGAGATGGTGATTCACAAGGAACCTTTTTCGCAAGAGATATGGATAAGGTTGGATGGAACCTCTCTGAACAATCTTACCCTTCTGGGATGGGAGGATCCATTGCAATAAGGGAGGGACAGATTATCTGGGCTGTAGTGATCCTATTGGTGAAGTTGAATCTACTGAGGCAGGGGTAATAGCTTTCTTGTTGGCTTTAGAGTTCCTACATCATGAAGATTGTTTTCTATCTTCACTCAGCAAATGCCACAAGATGGGAATGGGTTTTGAGACGTCCATGGAGACTTCCTGATAATCTGAGTGAGGTTAGAAATCTTGTAGGTTTTTGCACAACTGTATTGAGATGGATTCTAGGGATCTAAACGCACTATAGATGGCTTAGCAAGGTTGGAGTTGATAGGGAATGGATGTACAATGGATCCTAATTTCCATATCTAGATGCATAGTACATATTTGGATGACACATTTACTGGTATCTGTTTATAATATGTATTGTCTTTTCTTAATATAATCATTTTGCTCCTCCACCCAAAACTGGCTCTACAAAGTAAGGCAAGGGTAAAAGGCCAAAAGAGAAAAGGAAAAACATAATGCCTTCTGACTATGGAAAAATGGACAAACAATCTAAAAGATGTACCTATAGAAAAAATATCCACTCTAAAAGATGTAGGACCCATATCAATCTCTGTAATTCAATTTCCTAATTCAAATGAAAGACTTGTTATAAAAACTTTTAAATTACAAGTTAGACATGATTTAATTATTTAAATTTAATAAGGAATTCAAATTAGATATAATTACCAGATAAACAGTGAATCTCAAACAAAATGATATTATTACCATAAAAAAAAAAAACAAAATGATATATAAGTGTAGTTGCCCCATACTTAGTACAGGGTCATTCTCTAGTACTGATAAAAAAGAGACAACCACTTTTACAAAGAGAAGTTTCTTCTGAATCACTTAGTACAATGATCCTGTACTTGTTAAGGTATTACTGGAAACATTATTTATTAGATTGAGATTCTATATTTTACTTTTAAGATGTTCTATTTTAATCTAGGTGACCTAAAGTTCTTTTTCATTCTATGTGCATGTATACCTATAATGTGACTTTTGGTATTTGTGCAAAAAAAGAAAAAAAGAAAAAAGGACTGTATATTTGTTGTCAAAGGAAAAAAATCTAGTTGACTAGAAGATTTTTTTTTTTTTCTGTGAATCATTATATATTTTTTATTTTGTAGAAAGCATATATATTGAGGCCCTTGCTTGTATCTTAGTTTGATCTGTTTGTTTCAATATTCCATTATCTTTTGCTTCTAGAACTATTATTAGTTTTCCAGTTTCTATATTGTCTTTTGCAGTTTTTAATTTGATTTTGATTAATTGGTTATGCCTTCTCTTGGGTTCTGTGTACACGCAGGCTATGAATTTCTTTGCTGGATTGTTATTATTGATTATGCCCGAGGAAAATGCTTTTTGGTAGGTTCAATCCCCTGCACTCATCTTCCCTAATTTTTTGACTTCAGTAGGTTGTTTTTTGAATTGCTTTTTGGGAGAGCTGTTATGGCTTACGAGGCTTCTCAACACAACATCTCCACTATGATGTAAAGTTAACATTCTCTTTTCAAATAACATGGTTAATTCTGTATTCATTGAATTATTTTATTGAAGAATGATTATATATCACTCTGATATTCTCTCTCTATTAACATCTTGTTAGTAATGGCTGTATATTCTGATCCTAGTTTCTAATTTTTTACTTTCAGGACTTTGGTGGGTATTATTGATGATTATTTTGATGGCTATTTTTCAGAGGAAATGATAGAACCTCAGGTATTCTTTTTTTGTTTCTTTTTCAATTCTAGCAGATAATGAAATGCTTTGTCTTCTATTGGATATGGCTTCTAAAAGTTAAGGAATCTGTGAAGGATAAGATGACAGAGATACTGTTTTTTGAACTGATCACGAAAGGTCTACTGTTTATTCAGGTAGACCAACTTGTTTTAGAGGAAATAGTTCGCGAGAGATTTCCAAAATTGGGTTTGTATTTTACTATGTTTTTTTCATTGTTTCTATTAAGTATGTTGAGGGATTCCTTATTTTATTTATTCTGGTGGTGCAGTCAATCATCTTGATTACCTTGGAGTGCAGGTTGCATGGGTTACTGGACCCTGGTTCCTTTCCATTTTCATGAACATGCTCCCCTGGGAAAGTGGTCGGTTTCTATTTTTTATGGGATTGGAATTCCACTTGAAAGTAGCTGTAATTTTTCTGATATTCATCCATTTAACTTGTAACATTTTGATTTAACAATGATGATATCTGAGACATATACCTTCTAATGGATTTTTTCTGCCTTCAGTTCTTCGAGTTTGGGATGTGCTTCTGTTTGAAGGAAGTCGTGTTATGCTATTCCGAACAGCACTTGCTTTAATGGATTTATATGGTACTGGGTAAATTACATCTTGGGTTTATGATTGGTATAATATGTTTTAATGGCAATTTAGAGGATCATTTCTTCATCTTGTATATTTGTGAAATATTAAATTGAATTGATTTCTTGCAGGCCCAGAATTGGTTAGAACAAAGGATGCTGGAGATGCTGTTACCTTGATGCAGTCCCTTGTTGGCTCTACATTTGACAGTAGCCAACTTGTCTTCACTGCTTGCATGGGCTATCAAGTTGTAAATGAAGCTAGATTGCAAGAATTGAGAGAAAAACACCGACCAGCAGTAATAGCTGCCATTGAGGAGCGGTCCAAAGGGCTTGGTGTTTGGAAGGATTCCCGAGGTCTTGCATCCAAGCTATACAGTTTCAAACACGAACCTGGACCATTGAAATCAGAGACAAATGTAAAAGAAGGTTTAGGTGATCTACGAACCAATGGAGATGTATTTCTAGTGGAATCTGGATCTTCCAATCTAGATGGAGTTCTTGGCAGTTTAACTGGGGATTCAGATGCTGACTCCCTTCAGGAACAGGTGATTCCATGCTGCTTTTTCTTGAATGTGAGATAAGCTTCCTTTTGCAATGTGCCTGCTGTCTTTTAAAGTCCTCCAAATGGAGCCTTTGTTGACCAGTATCCCTATGTTTCAGGAAATTCAGGTAAAAAGGGAAAAGACTAATGGGATGTAGGCCAAAATGTATGGTTTTGTTTTTTAAAACAAAAAATCACAGACAAATCATCAAAACAATATTGTTTCTGCTGATGTGGCAGTTATTTTTATTTTGAAAAACAAAAATACACATTTGCCAACACCCCCTAAATGTATACCCTATCTTCCAAATGATAAAATATCTCTGATTTTCAAGAAATTAAGAAAACAAAGAGAATGTATCAGAGAGGGACTTCTGATCAATTGGAGCTTTTTTTGTTGAGCTCAAGGGTGTGCCCTATTTGTAGGGTTGAAACTTGGGCAGGGTTAACCTAAACACAACATGAACAAAAAGAAGTGAATAAACATAAAATTGGGTCCAACTCAACCCAATTAGCCTTTATTGGCTAATCCCAAGTCTAAGAAGTGAGAACATTTTCTTTCTAAACAAAAATAAGTTATTACTTTGGGCCAACCCAAGCCGAACTCAATCTGATGTCATTGGGTTGGTTTAGGGTTATGGTTGGAGGTTCAACAACTTGGGTTGGGCTAGGGTTGACTTCAACCTGACCTTAGCTGGCCTTGCACAACTACCTATTTGATCAGGCTTTACAAATTTTTAATGAATTGCAAAAGAATAAGTGTAATAAAAGAAAAATAAAAGTGGAGAAGGAGGAGTGGACCATCTTGCTGTGGTTTTTGGATGCCAAACAGGTGATCTACGTTTCCTATATTTAGGACTTCCGGTAGGATCCAGAACTAATGAAGCAGGGATTTGGAGGCCAGTGATTGAACGAGTAGAGAAAAGGCTAGAGAGATGGAAAGCCAAATACCTATCTCTGGGGGGCAGAATTACACTGGTGGGAAGTGTTCTGTCAAGTCTGCCGACTTATTATCTATCTCTTATGAAGGTTCCAGCAAAGGTGGCGGAAAAAAATTGAAAAGATTCAGAGGGACTTTATGTGGGAAGGAGTTGGTGGTGCAAGGAAGTTTCATTTGGTGAAATGGATAAGGTGTGTAGGCCAAAAATGCATGGCGGCTTGGATATTAGAAGAGTTAAAACTTTCAATAAGGCCTTTCTGGGAAAGTGGTTGTGGAGGTTTGGGTTGGAAAAGGAGAGGGAGTCCCTTTGGAGAAGGGTTGTAGTAGGAAAATATGGGCTGGTGAGGTTTGGGTGGGAGTCAAGGGAGGTCTCCAACTCTTATGAAGTGAGTGTTTGGAAGGAGATCATGTTGTTCAATCAAGAGTTTAAAGATGTAGTCAGATTTGTATGGTGTCCCAAATTCAGAAGACCCTTGCTAGACCAGGAAATAGAAGAATGTGTTCAGTTGTTGAACTTGCTTCAGAAAGTGGAGGTATCCACTTCCTCGAGGGATGGTTTGTGGTGGAAAGAGTGCAAGAATGGGGTTTTCTCAGTGAAATCTTTCTACATAGCTATGTTAAAGGACCAGCAGGGATCAGATTACAAGGGTGGAATCTGGGGGAACCCCATTCCACCTAGAGTGGAAGCTTTTGCTTGGCTGGTTGCCATGGACAGCATCTTAACATCTGATCATCTGAAGAGTAGAGGGTTTCATATGGCAAACTCTTGTGTCATGTGTAGTGCAGATGAAGAATCTGTTCTGCACTTGTTTTCTACCTGCAAGACTGCAAGAATAATTTGGAGTTATTACACTTCTTTATTTGGGAAAAGTGCGATTCAGCCAAGATCTGCAGCAGAAATTTTCTCCACCTGGTCAAGAATTGGGGGAGGTAGGAAAGCAGGGATAGTTTGGAGCTGCATCCCATTTTCTGTGTGCTGGACACTATGGAACGAAAAGAACAAAAGGATTTCTGAAGACAAACTCAAGAACACAGAAGTTCTGGTGGCTCTAGTTGGGAAGTTAATTGCAGATTGGGTTTGGGTGTTACCAGATTTTGATCAAGTAAACAGATCAGATTTGGGGGAAAATTTCTGGTGTTTGCTTGAGATTCAATGATGTATCTGTACCAGTCGTAGTGTTGGACTGTACCTAGTTCAGTTTTGCTCCGTTTTGTTAGTTTGGTGCCATCTTGTCACCTACTACATGTAACTGATCTTTTTATTTTAATAAAATTTCTATTTTACTCTTCAAAAAAAAAGGAAAAGAAAAATAATAGGTATGCAAGAAGTTTATGGGTAACTATAGAGATCTCTCAACCAATTTTGAAAGGTGCTTCAGTGTTTAATTTTTTATAGGTTTCTAAATAAGCTGATAAATATAGGTGGTAGAAGTGAAAAATTACTAATTGAATTAATCTAAGTAATTACTTAGATTGAAGGGCAAGAACTTTGTTGAGGTGATCAATTTTGGTGTCTTGGCTCAGTTATCTATGACTAAGAAGAGATGAGTATATAAAATTAGCTATGCTTTAAGGAACTAAATGTTGAGTTTTTTTTTTTTTTGCATGTTGGACTTTGATGAGTCGTCGTCGTCATCATCATCATCATCATCATCCATGCCTTATCTCAACTATATGGGGTCAGCTACATGAATCCTGTTTTGCCAATCCATTCTATTTAAAGCCATATCCACTGTTAAATTATTAGTGCTTAAATCATTTCTTACTACTTCTATCCAGTCCATTTTGGTCTACCCCTAACTCTTCTAGTCCCTTCTACTTGTAACGGATCACTTCTTCTAACTGGAGCTGTTGGTGGTCTTCTATGTACATGACAAACCATCTTAGTCTTGATGTACTTTCTTTTTGCTTACTATTATAAATCAATACAATACTTTACCTTCCTAAATAAAAGAAAACAAATTTTGAGTTAGATTGGGCATGCTTAATGAATCTAGAATCACCACAAAAGGCCACATGTTTGCAAAAACCTCAGTATGTAAAAATGAGCAAAATAGATGAACTCACCACCATAACTTTGAGATAAGAACAAGGACCTTCCATGAAATAGAACTAGGTGCACATAACCACAAAACACTAGCAAAAAACCCTCAGCCTCTTTCAACACTCAAGTAAACCACAGTATCGCCAAACTAATACTGCATCTACATCCTTTCCCCCAATGTCTTCAACCTGCAGCATCTTAGAGCATTCATTTCCTACCTATACCCATGCTACGTGTACCTCTAATCGTCTCTCCTATTCCTCTCAAGATTTATTTAGAAATGAAACTTGCCCATCTTTCAGTCTCCAGAGAATTTTTCTCTTCCAACTGCTTAAAGATAGAATGAGAAAACATAATTGGACCAAGAATAAGACACAAAACTTTGATGTTTGTTTGTTTGCTCTTTTTTTTTTTTCATTATATAACTTGTACTAGTTGGTGAGATTCAGCAATTTCTACAGTTTTATAAGGAAATGACTCATGTGCAGGTGGTAAGGTTAAAGGTTGAACTGTGCAGATTGCTGGAGGAGAAAAGATCTGCTGTCCTCAGGTTGATACTTTTGTTAACGTTTCCAGATTTGGTATCTTCTCAAGGTTGGCTGAACATTTCTAATATAATTCATTTCACTGGAAACAATCATGATAGGACTGAAATAAAAACTTGAGTTTTTCCTGATATCAGTACACTAGGAAATGTTGCAATGAGCTGTACTTTAGTAGTTAGAGTTTACTTTGCAGCAGTGTTGCGTTGCTTAGGAAATGCCTAGCTTTGCTAGCAAAGGTTCTGGGACCCTAGCACCTACCCTTGGGTACAAACTAGCATAAAATATTAATCTTAGTTTCAAGACAACCTTTGTAATCTAAATGCTAAAGAACCCGTAGAAGGTAAAAGAAGTAACAAGTCCTCGCCCTCAAAATAAATAAACAAGTAAATGATTAGGATAGGAACTTCTATCTGGCCAACTAAGCATTGCCCAATTGTAGAGGTAACTTAGGAACTCATATACCTTAAGAACCTTTGGTTACACATTTCTTCAGTCTATGCATTTGAGTGCTGAAAACAGAACTATGAAGTTCCTTTTGTAAACCTGAAAACCATTTGCTAGCAATTGAGCTCTTTTGTTTTCATCTTCATCATTTGCAAAAACCCTGGACAACTAAGGTTGGAGTCTGCTTGCCAATTGCAATTCATATTTTGCTTGCTATTGAAACTAATTACAACTTTACACTTAACAATGTTTCTTTGTCATTTTTCATAATGTGATGAATTTGGAAGCGGAACTAGAAATCAACCATCATTCTTTGCGTCTGAATTGTTTTTGGTAACTTATATGCGTTCTTGCACCAGTGGCTATTGCAAGTGCACTAAAACTTTTCAGTTTATCTTTGACATTATGTTAGGTTCTGTCTCAAATACATTTCTTAAACCAGCATATAGCATTGAAGTTCCTTGTTATTTCTGTTCTTTGTCAGAACTGAAGAGCTGGAAACAGCATTCATGGAGATAGTCAAGAAGGATACCCGTCGGCAATTGAGTTTAAGGGTATATCTGAAGCATATTTTACAAGATTGTTTCTGTGATGTTATGTGTCTGTTATGTCAGTTTCTTTGTTAAATTTAAAAGAAACACATGTTAAGAACTGAAGAGACAATTGTTTAAATCTAGTTGTCTGATTCATTCCACTTAACTCTCTTTTGCATCCATATTATCTTGACTTGCTGCATTGCTTGTTTATCACTTTTCCAAGTCTTTTTGCATATGGTTTAATCTTCTTCCAAATGAATGCCATAATTTATGACCCTTCCTGATATACAAAGGAACCTTCTCCCAAGCTTTGCATAAGTCTGGCATTCTTCTTTTTTCTTTGTTGACAGATGAAAAACTTCTTAGTACTAATATTTCGCTTGTACATTACATTGTTCTGTATTGATAATTCATTGCTTAATGGGAAAAAAAAACCTACGTTGACTGGTTCAAAGTTCAAATATCTAAGTATGAAAAGTGATTGAGCAAGTTATTAAGTAGATTTAGCTGGTATCTATAATAAGAAAAAGAAATAAATCAGGGAGGTGAAATGCATGTAAAAAAGACAAATCTAATTGATGTTGATGGTGGAAAGTAATCTAAGCATTAATAGAAGTAAACCTTAAATCATACTATGTATAATCAGTCATGGAATAATCAAGAGAGGAAGGAAGAAGGAATGAAATAGAAGAAGTCGAATCAGGTTAGTGGCAGCACCCACTTCACCCTAATATATTAACAATAATAACAACTACAGAGTGGTCCCTTGAAAGAAGAGAAAATACAGAAAACCCCCTAGCGCCATAAACATATAAAAATCACCCCTGAAAACACTATGATCAGCTTTTCCCAGTAAAAAATATATAGGTTCAGAAATTTCAAATTATTAGAAACCAGAAAAAAATAAATGTTTCTATATAGATACCTACTAGGGAGATCATCTCACTCAAATGTTCAGCTCCAGGATGTGGTTGTTTGGGTTTTGGTGAGTTTGATCTGTGGAGACTAAGTAATAATGATGATGAGAACCCAAGAAAAAGATTGCATCTTCCAGCACCCAAGGGTCTTACTTTTATATGCTAACAAAGAGAACAAGGGCCTTCCCCTCCATCCCTTATCCATCCAATCACAACCTGTGAGTCACTCTCTACTTCTATTCTTATAATTGAGGGCATGCTAGCCATAGTCCTTAATCAAAATACCTTAAAAGCACCTTCTACCAAGATCTAGGGCTTTTTCTCAGATATGGGTAGTGGCTGTACCACTGCTGATGTCATCTGGATGGCCATGAACAAGTGATTGAACAGCCCCTTTAGTATGTTCTCATACAAACTAGAACAAGAAGGGAATGATGAAAATGGCATGTAAAGAAGAATAGGGTGCATAAAAACCGAGGATGCATTTGGTTATCCAGAAAATGAAAGGAATTAAAAAATAAAAAAAAATCTTGCTTCATGAATACTGCTTGGTTGGCAAGAGAACAAAAAGGACTAAAAAATGAATATGGGTAGTTATACCCAGCCCACAAGTTTCGTAACTGTTTTATGTTGTAAAGTTAAAAAAAAAAAAAAAAACTGAGCTCCACCATCTTTCTTGGATTTTTAAGAGTTTTGAATTGGAAGGTTTAATTGTCATAACTCCGAAAAATTGATGGAATCAAGGAAGCTTGGATGGGGCGACAAAAATTCAGGGATTTAAGTTCAACCAAAGACATCTGGCTCAGAATTAGTTTCCTGGATCCCCTCTTTTCTCTTTTCTGGGAAGCTAAATAAAATATATTACTTACAAATTATTCCAAAGAAAGAGGAATTGTTCTACAATCCACAGATTACGCTTAAAGAACTCACTGGAAAGAGTACGGCATCTACGGCATCTATAAGATACACTTCAAGCATGAATGGATAATATAGATAAACTAATTGCAGATCTATATTCTATAATATCCGAGGGAAAAGATTTTACTACCATCCTTTATGTAAGGATGTGTGCACTTTTCTCCTTGATTTGTTTTTGGGTCCACAAGGATTTGATGGGATGAACCTCTTGCCTCTTTTGAGAATGAGCTTTTTGTGTGCACTGGAGATCGTTAACAATACTGTACAGGGTTTTTTTTTCTTGTGAATTGTTCATAATGTGTAATCAGTTAATCACTTGTATTACTCGTAAAATCTTAAGATTTTCTTTTGATGTACAGGTGGAACAGCTGGAGCAAGAGGTAGCAGAGCTAAAGCAGGCTCTAAAAGATAAGAGCAAAAAAGAGCAAGCTGTGTATGAGGTTTTATTTCTACTTTATATTATATCTATGATCTATTTGGTTAAGTTGGTTTGTAGTTACAGGAAACACATACAAATGAATCCTCAGAACTCCAACCATTGTTCATGCCTGATGCTTCTTATTTTATTTTAGTTTTAGTTTTTATGTCTGCCTCTTGTTTCTTGAGATCAAATGAGAGAACATGCTGAACTTTCCCCTTTGTCATTTCTTTTGAAATTTCCCGACTCCTTCCTGGTTTCATAAAATTTGGGAAGCTCTCATGGTGATGAAGTTGCTTTGAAATGTCTGCCTTATTTTTCTTTTGAAAATTCAGTTGTCTGTGTTTAGATGTTTCCACAGATGGCTACTTTCTGACATTAATTTCCCCAAGGTTCAAAGCATTGAAAACACAGAATATCAGAAAAACAACTTTAAGTGACTTATCACAGTATGCTTTGGATATTCATGGATACAATAGAAAAATTAAGATACACATGGATATGCTAGGAAACTTAAGTAAATCCTAAAAATAGATTAATAACAATAAATATGAGTTTTATATGACTATAAATAAGTTATTTACTGATAAAATACATACTTCAATGGTTTATATGAAGTGTGAGTTATTGGGAGTTTGGGACACAATTGGTAATTGTTGAAAAAATGATGGAAGAACTAAAATATGTATTTATATGCCTCAATTCTCAAGAAATCAACAGAATTTGTGTTAATATTTGTAAATATACAAGTTTTAATGCTTACAAACATCCACTAAGAAGAAAAAATTTAAAGCTAAGATTCAACATGCATGCATTTATGACAAGCAATTAGAGTATGGTGTAGTGGTGGACTATGGTCTTTTAAACCCATAACCGAGTTTCAAATCTTCTTACTTGTAGTTTTTGTACTGTTGAGATTGTTTAGGTGCAAGAGTATTCTTGTCTTTTTTTTTCTTTTGTATTTGGGCGCTCATATGAGGGCTTACTTGTAATTTGTCTCAATAATATAAAATCTCAAGTATGAGAGAGTGAACAATAACTCTCTTCTTCTTCTACTTTTCTTTCTCAATAAAACCCTACATATTACAACTTGGTATCAGAACCACTAGAAGGTCATGGAAGAGTCTTTCTCTACTGTTTTTTGCTCAAAGGGTGAGCTGCTGACATCAGACTGCCACAGGATAACATCAGCAGTCCGTATAGGTGGCGGCTACAATCTCTAAAAATTGTATGGTTTGATTTGCCCTGATTTTAGATGAAGTTTGGTATATGTCTCATTGTGGTTTGATGCTTCTATGATTTGTTGTGGATTTTTCAAGTAGAGAATTGCAGAAATTCTAGATCTGATTTAGAGGTTTGCTTCTCTTGTTTGATGGTTTTTTATTCTGCAAGACCTGGTTCTTCTAAGCCATTTTATATTTTGGGAATGACGATAAGTGGTCCCATATTTTTCTGAACCTTAAAAAATTTTTGGAAGATTTTCTTCTTCCTCTATTTTACCGCCAGCCTGCTTTTTGGCTCCTTTTCTAGCCTTTAACCGAGTTTAATCCTTTCTTTTGGGTTTGTTTGTATTTCGGTTGGGTGTTGGGGTGCTCCTTGGTTGCTGAGATAGTTGTTTGTGAGGTATGAAATCACCAAAAGATGTACAAATGGGTTCTAGTGTGTTTCCTGGAAGTGTTGTTGTTTCTAGTGGTATGATAACCACTGTAAAACTTGATGGAACCAACTTTTTTGAGTGGTCCCAATTGGCTAAACTTATTATCATAGGGAGAGGTAAGTTGGGATTCATTACAGGCAAGGAAGTGAAGCCGAAAATTGAAGACCCTAAGTTTGCAAAGTGGGAACAGATAACTCACTGGTAATGTCTTGGCTAATCTATTCAAAGCAACATCACATTTGCTCATAATTACATGTTCCTTTCAACTGCTAAAGATATTTGCCTATTTGGGATAGGGTTATCACCACTTACTAACAGGTTAACAATACTGCTAGAGTATATTAGCTTAGGAGAGAAGCTTGTAGTATGCGTTAGGGGGAGAGGATAGTGGTTATGTATTTCTCCTCTCTACAATCTCTTTGGGAAGAAATGGACCATTTAAAAACTTTTGAGCGGAAGGATCCTATAGATGTTGAGTAGTACAGGAAGTACATTAAGGAGAATAGCCAATAGGGTCTTTGATTTTTTGGTTGTCTTGAAGCCAGAGTTTGATTTCATTAGGCAACATATTCTGAGTGCAGGTATTGTCTCTCTGGCTACTACTTACTCAGTTACTCTCTTGTGCAAGGGGACAAAAGTAGAAGGGCATCCATGATGCAAAACTCTATGATTGAGCACTCTGCCTTTATGTCCTCTAAACCTAGGCCAAGTGGCAATAAACATACTACTACTAAGAAGTTTGATGATGTCATCTATGAATATTGCAAGAAGCTGAGGCATACTAAGGAAAGATGTTGGAAACTCATTCCTCACTTGAAACCGGACAAGTTTAAAACTGGAAGGAAAGGCAATGCTCATTTGGTCACGGTTGGTAACGAGGGTCAATATTCTGATGTGATCATTCCCTCTCATGACTCCTCTAACATGATGGATAAACTTCAGAGTCTTCTATTGCAATTGGAAAAGAGTGGGGCATCCTCCTTATTTGGTTTTGGTAACCCATCCAGTGCATATGCTAACACAAGTACTGCACTTGTTTGTTCCACCTTTAGCCCGTAGATTATTGACTTTGGGGCTAGTGCCCATATGATTGACATGCCTTCGCACTTTACTTCATATAAGTTAACCCTTGGGAAGGGCAAGCTTACTAATGCAGATGGATCTTAGATCCCATCTTGGGTCAGGGAGAAGTCAAACTTACTCATAACCTTTCCCTTGGATTTGTTCTTCATATTCCTCAAATACATAAAATTTATTATATGTTAGTTAACCCTTGGGAAAGGCAAGCTTACTTCATATGAGTTAACCCTTGGGAAGGGCAAGCTTACTGATGCAGATGGATCTTAGACCCCATTTTGGGTTAGGGAGAAGTCAAACTTATTCATAACCTTTCCCTTGGATTTGTTCTTCATATTCCTCAAATGCATAAAATTTATTATATGTTAGTTCTCTTACCATGTCCCATAATTGTTATGTAACCATTTTTTCTACCCATTTTGTTTTTCAAGATCTAAGCATGGGGAAGATGATTGGAAGTGGACATGAAATCGATGGAGTCTACCTTTTTGATGATGCTTTAGAATATGGATTGTTGAGCTAAGATGAGTCTTGTTCTAGTGAGAAATTGAGTCTTTTGCAATTGTGGCATTTTCATCTTGGTCATATATCCTATAAGTCTGTAAAACTTTTGTTTCCAAATTTGTCCAGTTTAGTGTCCAACTTGAATCCTCAATGTGAAGTTTGTCATTTATCCAAACAATGTAGACCACATATTTTGTGAGTCATAGAAGTAATGTTGCTTTCCATTTGATTCATATTATGTTAGGAGCCCATATACCATCCCGTGCATGTGTGGGTATAGATACTTCATTCTCTTTATTGATGACTACACTCGATATACATGGCTCTACTTGATGAAACAGTGTGGTGAAGTTCCTATGATTGAGAAAAGAATTAAGATAATAAGATTTGGTAATGCAAATGAGTACTTTGAAAACCACATTTGTGTGTTTCTTGAAGAACGGGGCACTATTCACTAGAGCTCATGTAGTCATACTCCACATTAGCTTATTAACTGACTACCATTAAGGGTGATAAATCTTCGGTCCCTTCATTAGCTTCTTCATCCTAATGAACCCACCCTCAATTTACCTCTCAAGGTCTTCGGATGTGTCTGTTTTGCTCATGACATGAGTCCTTCGAGACATAAGTTTGATTCTAAGTCTATTAAATATGTCTTCCTTGGTTATTGTCTTGTTCAGAAAGGTTATATATGTTTTGATCCTCAGTCTGCTCAGAGGTATGTTTCAATGGATGTTACCTTCCTTGGCTACTCTCCTGTTCAAGGGGAGATTACTAGTGAAGATCGGACTCCATTCTGCCTTCTTGTTCCTATTTTTGTCTACTAGTTCTTTTTCTTCCTCTCATCTTTGTAATGAGGGCATTCCTTCCACTCCTCCACCTCCTGTGTATTGACCTGGATCTTGGCAGTGATTCTTCATTAAGCATAGTAAGAGGGTGGCTTTTAAAGCTGAATGCCCACCACAATCTAATCCCTTGGACTCAGGTAATCTTGAACCTCCTAGTACTTCTATTGTTGGCCCTTTGGAAGGGAAAGAGAACATGTATCAAGTATGCCATTACTAATTATGTGTCGTATGATGCTCTCTCACCCTCCTATTATGCCTATATATACCATCTCCCTTGTCTCTATTTCTCGCAGTGTTACAAAAGCAGTGCGATCTCCTCACTAGAAGGAAGCTATGAACCAAGAGATGGAGACCTGGATAAAAAACCAAACTTGGGAGATTGTGCCATGTTCCAGGGATAAGGATCCGATTGGGTGTAAGTGGGTGTAAACTATTAAGCACAGAGTTGATGGTTCAATTGAAAGGTATAAAGCTCACCTTGTGGCCAAAGGATATACCCAAACCTATGGCATTGACTATCTAGAAACCTTTGCTCTTGTTGTTAAGATGAATTCTATTCATGTGATTATGTCACTTGCTGCCCATTTTTCTTGGCCTTTATATTAGATGGATGTGAAGAATGTATTTCTTAGTGGGGATCTACAAGAAGTGTATATGGACTTACCTCTTGGAGTAAGCTTCCCTAATAGTGAAGGGAAAGTTTGTCGTCTAAAGAAAGCTTTGTATGGTTTCAAGCAATCCCCTAGAGCTTTGGTTTGAAAAATTTAGAAATGTTGTTTTGAAGGTTGGATTCTCTCAGTCTCAGGCGATCACACCTTGTTCATAAGGAAGTTCGATGGTTAATTGACTATATTGATAGTATATGTTGATGACATTGCTGTGACTGGGGATGACATCTTTGGTATCTCTAAGTTAAAGTCCTTTCTTGCTTTAGAATTTGAGATTAAGGATTTCGGTGATCTGAAGTACTTTCTTAGAATTGAAGTTGCAAGATCCAAGAAAGGAATCTACACCTCTCAAAGAAAGTATGTTCTTGATTTGCTCCATGAAATTGAGAAATTAGGACTCAAGTCTACAGAAACTCCAATTGATCTCAATCACAAGTTGAGTACTACTGAAGGAGATGTTCTTCCAGACAAAGGGATTTTTCAGAGAGTGATTGGCCACCTTCTTTATCTCTATTTGACTAGACCTGGTACATCATATGCAGTCGGGGTGGTCAGCGAATATATGCATGAGCCTAAAACCTCTCACATGAAGGATGTTAATAGAATCCTAGCCTATTTGAAGGGATGTCTTGGTAAAGGGATGTTGTACTCCAACCATGGGCATCTAAAGGTTAAGGCCTACATAGATCCAAAATGGGCAAGCTCTATTGATGATAGAAGATCTACATCCGGTTACTGTGCCTTAGTTGGAGGTAATGTTGTTTCATGGAGAAGCAAGAAACAATCAACTGTTGCTTGATCTAGTGTTGAGGTAGAATATAGGGCAATGGTCCATGGAGTGTCTGAATTACTCTGGTTGAAGACCTTATTGACCGAGATAGGCATCCAAGCTGATACTCCAATGAGACTATTGCAACAATCACATAGCCATAAACATTGCCCACACTCCTGTGCAACATAACCGTACAAAACAGATCGAAGTGGATAGACATTTTATCAGAGAGAGGATAGCAAGTGGAGAGATTTGCCTACCCTTTGTAAGGTTAGAAGACAAAGTAGCTGATTGTCTCACTAAAGGCCTTCATCACCCAATATTTGCCAAGAACCTAGACAAGCTGGGCATGATTGACATATATGCTCAGCTTGAGAGGGAGTGTTGAGATTGTTTAGGTGCAAGGGTATTCTTGTCTTTTTCTCTTTTGTATTTGGGCACCCATATGAGGGCTTACATGTAATTTCTTTCAATTATATAAAATCTCAAGTTTGAAAGAGTGAACAGTAACTCTCTCTTCTCCATTCAAAATTTCCTGTCTCTCTTCTCTTTTCTTTTTTTTCTTCTCTTCTCTTCTTGTTTTCTTTCTCAATAAAACCCTAGATATTACCAGTGTTTTAAAAGTGCAAGGCATAGAGGTCAGTTGCGCCTGAGGCGCAAGGCACAAGGTGAGGCGTGCGCCTTTTTGAAGCAAGGTGCAAAAATAAAAAAATGCTAAAAAATAAAAAAAAAATGTCAGAAAATAAAAAAAAAAAAATTTAAACATAATATTAATAAAAAATATAAACTTAAATGTTAAAATAAATGTTTTAAAAAACCTATTATCTAAAATTAAAATACATAAACATAAGATGCAAAGCATATTCAAATGAGAACTTAAAAATAAAATCAAACATATAAAACATTTTCAAGCATGTAAAACCTCTAATCTCTTTTTTCACTCAATTGCATTACTTAAAGTAGCTAATGTAATGTAAAACATATTACATTCCTGATTCTACGAGCCGTGTTTGTGCCACGCCCCTCGAGGCAAGCCTAAACAAGTCCATGTTAGGTGTTAAATTCTTAGTTCTCACACAAAAAAAATAATGAATTTATAATTTTAATTGCTTTTTAAGAGGCGCATGCCCTAGTGCGCTTGTTGAAAGGGCTGCACCTAGGACCTAGGCGAGGCACATACCCTAAAATGCGCCTCACCTGTGCGCCTAGGCACGCCTTTTAAATCACTGGATATTACAACTTATACCAAAATTTATAGGTTATAATAATCACTAATTAACAACATTTAATGATGTGTCAAAACATTCAAAAAGTCAAGTGGACAAATTCAAATTTCAATATTACCTTAATAATGTTAATTTGAATTTGAAAAGTTGCCTTAAATATAGGAGTTAATGAGAGTGAAAGAGTAATTATAGGGGTTATTAGTGAGAGAATGTAGGGCTTTCTTAAAAAAAATGTTATGTCTTGGCTGATACACTTATAGTATTGGTTCATATCAGCCGATATGGACACAATACAAACTGATATAATGAGAATATGGTAGATACTGTTGATACAGGTGGAAAAGGCTTGAGTTTCAGTCATTCCACCCATGGCTTCAAATACTGGTACATGTTGATATTTTAAACCTAGAAATTACCCTCCTGTTTTCCTGTCTTGCACTATAATTAACTTGTATAATGTTCTTAGGTCTTACTTCATGTTTATTCATGGATTGAATCCAATATTTCCATAGGTTCTAATGCGGGTGGAACAACAAAAAAGGGTAACAGAGGATGCCCGTAGACTTGCTGAACAAGATATGGCTGCTCAGAGATATGCTGCTAATGTGCTTCAGGTTCTTTCTTATCTCCAATGTACTGTGGATCATAGATGTGCTAATTTGTTTCCTATGTGAAGTACTTTGCTTGGAGAATTTCCTAACTTTGATAGAAAGTGGACGGATTTTTTCTGTTCATTTTGAGGGTTTAGGTTTTGCTATAGCATCCAGCTCCATCTATATCCATCTCGAAACAATGGTTGAGGTTCCTAGATAGTTCTTTTCTTAATCTCATTAAGCATGAGCGTAAACCACCAAAGGCATCTCTCAAAACCATTGTCCTATTCAATGGCATTAGTGGAATATTCCTTGATATGAGCAACAATAGACTCCTGGAAAATGGCTCCTGCAAGATCATACAATATTTATTACACCCTTCACCATCACGGAATATCACCTTCCAAATCTAATATATGCCCAGATCAGGCCCGGGCCTTGGCACTCAAAAATACTCTTACTACCCTGTAAAAAACCAGCCTATTCTGGCCAATGATCATCTCTACCCAAAGGGCTGCCTTCAAACCTTAGTGGGTCTACCCCCAGAAAGCAATGCTTTCAACTTGTGGTTAAACCAGATAATTGGGCCAGTTAACTTGTTGCCTTCTTAGATTTTTTAGTCCATTTCACCCCCGAACCACTTGAAAAAAATGTTGACTCGGCCAACAACATGGTGACATGGAGGATTGAACCACTGAACTGTTTGACCAGCTGGTGGGTCATTGGTTAAACATTAGTTATCTTTAAGTATTTTATCCATTGCTGTCATTAATAACAATAGTTGTCACTTAAAACACATTATTGTTTAATTTGATGAATATACAGTACCTAATTTTTTTTGCACATTTTCTGAAAGTTTCTGTATTTTTTTCTGTTATTTATCTATTTATATCTATTTTATTATTTAATTTATGAAATTTTGGGTTGACCCATTGGACCTTGATAGTTGAAACACTGACCCACCACTTGGACAGAAGAACTATTCTCTTTCTGGATCAGTTTTTTAAACACCACCACAAAGTGTTTGGTCAAATCTCATCACAGCTGATACCATAGTACCGAGGTCAAAGAAGAAACCACAAATAGAACATTTAGAACTGTAGAGATAGCTGATAGACTATTAGTGTGTGTGGGATTCCAGCCCCAAACTTTATTTTTTACTGTTTATTTATTAACTTTTCGGCTATGATAGTTGGGCCGGTTGGGTCTTGTTTGTTTTTCTTTTATTTTTAAGTGAGGGTATTAGAGTAATTACAGTCCTTGTAAAATCACAAATATAAATAAGATTCAGTGGGCGGCTAGTAATTAATTCTGCCGCACCCCTTCTTCTCTTCTCTTCTCTCTCTTCTTCTATTCACGACCTTTCTTTCTCCTCTTTTCTACTGAATTTGTATCAGAAAACAACTATTTTCTGATTTAATTTTATTCGAGTTGGTATCAGAGCCAAAACTAGGACAGATTAGGGCTCTCATGTGAGCCTAATCCAGTCGGCAGCATGAGAACTTACTAAAACTGGAAGTTTTGCATCATTGCCTGATTCTTGGAGGATAACTGGAGTCTTGAGTTGTGTCCAAGGGATTGCATGACCTTTGGAGAGTGTTCGGTGACCAGGAAGGATCAGAGAAATTAGGTAAGTTAATGTTTAGGGTTTAAACTGGAGATTGAAGGTGGCGATCAACCTTTTTTTTTTGAGAAAGAACTCATCTTTATTAAGACCGACCTTTAAAAAGAACAGTTTAAACCTCTCTGGAAGCAGCGGTTAACAGATTTCTGTCAAAAACCCTAAAGAAACAAGCAAGGGAGACAGATCTCTGTTTTCCCTGTTATTTTCTCTAGGGTTTTTTGAAACCCCACGGTCAGTTCTTGCTCCCAGAATTGTTCTGTGACTGGTTGATTCTTGGACAACTATAGTAATCTGAAAATGGTTTCTAGGTGATTATTCTCGACTGAGGAGTGTTTTTGGTGGTGATTCTCAGCTGTGACTGATTTCTGAATGAGAAGTCCTCGCTGTGAGTGATTTCTGGGTGGCTGTTTTTCAATCAGCCGAGTTCTTTTTGCATAAAAGGAAGTTCCTTTTGCATAAAAGGAGTTCAAGCCTTTTTTGTTTGAAGTAGTGACTGTTAACATCTCATATAAAATGGAGAAGGCTGGAAGTGAATTAAAGATTCAAGGGGAAGGTCTTTTGGGGACTGGAAGCATGACCAAAAGTTCTTTTCAGATAACTACTGTTAGGTTCGACGGAACAGATTACTTGGAGTGGGCCCAATCAGCCATGATGGCTATTGGAGGTAGAGGCAAATTAGGCTATGTGACTGGGGATATAAAGAAACTAGCCAAGGAAGACACATCACATGCCAAATGGGTTCAAGAAAACTATTTGGTGATGACATGGTTGTGTAATTCTATGCAGCCTCATATTAGCCGGAATTATTTATGGGCAAAAACAGCTAAGGAAATTTGGGATTATATGAAAGAGACCTACTCCCAACCCCTTAATGTTGCTAGGGCTTATGAACTGAAGTGTAAAGTGAATAATCTCAAGCAAGGGGAGAAGCCAATCTCCGTTTACTTTGCCACTTTGAAATCTCTGTGGCATGAAATTGACCATTTGGAAACAATTGAGTGGGAGAGTCAAAGAGATGCAACTACTTATAGCAAGCTGATTGAAACAAATAGAGTTTTTGAGTTCCTAGCCAGTTTGAATTCAGAATTTGACATTGTAAGACAACAACTACTTACCAGAGAGAGTGTGACATTGTCTCAGGCCTATTCACTAGTGCACAGTGAAGAGAGTAGGAAAAAGGTGATATTACAGTTTCAGCCCATGGAATCAGCCCTAGCAGCAACAAAACTAAAATTTTGGAGAGATAAGGAAAAGGAAATGAAGCTGGAAATAAAGAAGGAAGATAAAAGGGAGATATTTTGTTATCATTGTAAGAAGCCGAAACATACTAGGGGCACTTGTTGGAAGTTGCACCCTCATCTTGTTCTAGTTAGACTCAGAAATAAGAGGGGAAATGCTAATGTGGCAGTCACCATTGGCAGTGCATCATCTTCCAATACAAGAACCACATCTCTAGATGCCTTAGCTGCTGTCTATGCCACCTTGACACAATTAGAGAATGAAGCTGGTATTTCTAGATCATCATCTCGGCCTTCAGTTGCTACTTCTGCTAATCTTACTTCAGCCTTTGCTTCCTCAGGTACAAGATCTACAACATATCATACTTCAGCCCTAGTTAACACTGGACCCTTCTGGGTAATAGATTCAAGTGCTTCTGACCATATGACCAGTTTATCCACCTTGTTTACCACCTATTGTTTATCCTCTAGCAGAAACAAAGTATCTATTGTTGATGGCTCTCTTGTACCTTCTTCTGGCAAGGGAGACATCAGACTATCTGATGCCATCTCCCTATCCTCAGTTTTGCATGTCCCTAAGCTTAATACCAACTTGCTTTTAGTTAGTAGTATTACTAAGAATCAAAACTGTTCAGTAACATTTTTTCCTAATCGTTGTGTTTTTTAGGATCTGGAAACGAGGAAGGTGATTGGGATTGGTCGTGAGACGAATGAAGTTTACCTGCTTGAGCATCCACAGGGGAAGGAGAGTGAAGTTGGGAGATTGTTTGTTTCTTAGTCTTTGGGTCAGATTATGCTTTGGCATAACATATTAGGTCATTTGTCTTTTGGGTCTTTGAAGAGTCTGTTTCCAAATTTGTTTGTCAGTCCAAGTGTCTAGTTTGAGGTGTGAAAGTTGTGAACTTTCTCACTTGAAGAGATGCCTAGGGAGAGGCATACTTTTTAGGAATAGTGGTCACATGAAGATAGATGTATATACAAATGCTGATTGGGTTGGATCCATTGATGACAAAAGATCTACCTTTGGGTATTGTGCATTTGTAGGGGGGAACCTTGTTTCCTGGAAAAGCAAGAAACAAAATGTTGTGGCTCTCTCCAGTGCTGAAGCTGAATACAAGTCCATGGCCAATGGTGTTGCAGAAGTATTATGGTTGAAATCTTTGCTTGATGAATTGGGAATTGACTATGAGAAACCTCTGATGCTGTATTTGATAATCAAGCAGTAATTAACATTGCCCATAACTCAATATAGCATGACAAGACTAAACATATCGAAGTGGACAAGCATTTTATCCGAGAGCGAGTTGGATCTCAAGAAGTGTGTCTTCCCTATATTGCCTCTGACATGCAGCTAGCTGATCTCTTTACTAAAGCAGTCACAGAAATCATGTTGGAGACAGATTTATGCAAGTTGGGAATGACGAATATCTACTCCCAACTTGAGGGGGAGTGTAGAGATAGTTGATAGACTATTAGTGCGTGTGGGGTTCCATCCCCACTATTTTTTACAGTTTATTTATTTACTTTTCAGTTATGGTAGTTGGGCCAGTTGGGCCTTGTTTGTTTTTCTTTTATTTTTAAGGGTATTAGAGTAACTACTGTCCTTGTAAAATCACAAATATAAATAAGATTCAGTGGGCGGCCAGTAATTAATTCTGCCGCACCCCTTCTTCTCTTCTTCTCTCCTCCTCCTTTTTCTGATATAAATTCAGTAGAAAAGAGGAGAAAGAAAGGTCATGAATAGAAGAAGAGAAGAAGGGGTGCGGCAGAATTAATTACTAGCCACCCACTGAGTCTTATTTATATTTGTGATTTTACAAGGACTGTAGTTACTCTAATACCCTTACTTAAAAATAAAAGAAAAACAAATAAGGCCAAACCGGCCCAACTACCATAACTGAAAAGTAAATAGATAAACAGTAAAAAATAAAGTATGGGGATGGAACCCCACACACACTAATAATCTATCAGCTCTCTCTACAAGAACTCTTTCAATGTCAGGAGGGGCAGAATTTTGAAACACCCAATTTTCTTGTTTCAAGGAATTCCAACAAGGCACACATGAAACTAAATGAGGTTTGTATGCTTTTTGTCTTTTATGCCTAGGGGGTTCTTAGCTTATGTGCTAGCATTTTCCTTCCATCATTTTTTCTTTGACT